TCATACCCTGATGGGACGCCCTGTGATTATGGAAGATTTGAAGGAGTTGCAAACGCTAACACCAATTCACCTCCATGGTCCCCTGCATGTCCTTCAGGCAGTAATTCGTCAAATGGAGGTGAGAACGATCATTAAAGATCACAAGACATTATAAAATTAATTCTACAGTCGGTGACCTCGAATACTGTACAATGTTTTTCAACGCTACAACAACATTAGTATGGAACGATATGTCATGTTATCAAAAGCTCGGTGGTGTTGTTTGCAAAATGAACTGCTCGGCGACTAAGACTACCCAAACATGTTCCTCATCAAGTGTTGTCACTACAAATGCTGCAGTTACAACTAAAGCAGCTGTTGTTACTTCCGGTAGTGGTTCAGCTGGTAGGCCTCAGACTACATAAATAATATTATCATATTATCACGTAGGAGGCTCAACTGCAAAGTCACTGACAACCAAAAGCACGGGAACTAGTAATGGTTCTTGCTCTTGTAATGGGGGATCATGTGGAGGTGGTGGTTATAAATGTGGTTCTGATGATTGGCAATGGAAAATAAACAAGAAAAATGGGAAATCATACGCATACAAGGCGTTCAATTATACTGGATGTTATTGGCAAGTAAGAGATTTTGAAGAATTTTTAGCTTATCCTGTTAATTTCCCACAAAGGGACTCGCAATCTGCAAAAAATACAAAGCTGTTCCTTGTTCAATACAATCAAGTGATGATAACGACTTTATTGTTAAAACAGTATGTTCCGGTTTACTCTCATCAACTTCTTCAAACTCATCTCGAAAACGTCGGGCTGCTTCAGATACCTGTATATATACTGGCATTCATAGACAAGTTACGAATCCGTCAACTGGAGGCGTAACTTGCACTTGTAGCGATGGAAGTTCATGCGGTTATGGAAATGATGATGCGGTAGATACATTTCTAAATTATGATTGACAATTCAATTGAAAGAGCTCCTGGAGGAAGCTCTCCTAGGTGAAGGGGCTTCCTAAAGATGGAGAGCTTCTCCTTCTAATTCACCTCATTATTGGATATAGTATTTTCAGTTCAAGTGTCTATCTATAAATAAATATTTGTCTATATGTGACTAAAAATTCTTTAATTATAGCATGGAGATACCACAACAACCTCTTTTACCTCCACAACCTCCCGGGCCACGACACTCAAAGCCTCAACAACTCAAAAGGCTGCAACTACAACGGCACAAAAGTCAACTACAAAATTTTCCACCTCAACATTTATAAGCACATCCACAGCTGGTCCAAGCAATCCTTGGGCTCCGGGATGCCCTGCCAATTCCACATCTGGACAAAAGGACAATGGTGGGTATGGGTCCAGGAACTGTATTGGTATAAACGGAGATGGTAAATGGGTGGATCAAAGTTGTGACAGACCGGCCACAGCAGTTATATGCATGAAAGAATGTGAACAACCATAAAGTTGTGTGAATGAGAGAATCATGAAATAATTCAAGAAAATGAAAGATTAAAATAAAAAAAAATTAAATAAATAACCAATATTTTCGTATTATACATTATAAAATAACTAAAAAAATAAATGGTAAATTTATGGATAAAATTTAAAAATCAGAAATTATTTTAAAATATTAGGTTGAGAAAATTGTTAAACTGAAGAGTCAAGATTTAAGGGCAAAAATCATTTCTAAAATACTGTAACCGATGAAGTATGTACTGAATTTTTGAATATAGCAGATTTGCATTTGGTATAAAATTTTTTCATAATGCCAAATTCCTTATTGTATGCCTCATTGTAATCAGAACTAAAATTAATTTTTAATTTCATTCGAGCAAAAGTTTTGATATCCGCTAAAATGGTTCAGGGTCGAAGGATTGAGACGGGCATTATCAAAAAGATGTCGAGATCTAAGCCTGAGACTCACATCTATCTAAAAGAAGTCAAGGGCTGAAGACATGGGGCTTACATCTTCTGAAAGGAGTTAATAGTCAAGAGTAGGGTTGCCAAAATAGCCTGACTCGGACCGAAAGATCGAGTTGGGCCTAAGATATTTGGCCCGAAAAAGACTCACGGCCCGACTCGACAAAAATAAGGCCCGAAAAATATGATTCGAATGTCGGCCCGACTCGAAAATGGCAAACCTAGGCAAAAGACAATGTCTCTTTCTAATAGGGATCGAAGTCCTAAGACTAAAATCCAGCCAAAAGTATAAATTTCTTTCGGTTTTTGATACCTGTTCAAATAAAGGATCGGAGCGTTTAATGCCGCAGATATATTCAGAATGAGTGCATTATAACAACCCAAATACCAAATCATTACAGGATTCTTAGTTATAAATGCGATACTTGCAAGAATTGAAGCTAAGTAGAGGAAATAGCCTCCAATGTTTAACAAAATTATTAGAGAGATTGAACGGAATAATTTCCGCATCTTTTCGTTGGTCAAGTCTGAATAATAATAAATTTTAGGAAATAGATCAAATGCCACCTCCTTTATATTTAGCCAAAATTCCAACTAAAATATGGGCCAAAATTGATAATACAAGCAGGACAATGAACATATTTCTGGTATCAAATAGTATCGGTAAACCATTAAAATCAGAAAGGTTCCCAGTTACTGGATAATCTGGATCTGCTGAGATTGCAGATACTAACAGACAAAACATGAATAAAGCAAAGAGAATTAAAACCAAAATGTGTATGTAAATGTAGAGACGAAATTTGACTTTGAGATAGCTGAAAATTAATTATAAAATCGGCAGTATAGTTGATACTTTAGCACAGATCAAATCCTAAACTTCTAACTCTCGTTCTCTTGTAGATGATCAAACAATTTAATGAGATAATTGAGTTACGCAGACATTTGCCTATTTGTTATGAATCCTCTAATTCTTGATTATGAATCCTTCCAAAACTCGAAGGAGAGGAAAGCTTGGAACTAAACTAATTTCAAAAAAATCTTTACCTAACCTGTAGTCCGTATATACATACATTCAAATGTAGGAGTTAGTAGGAGTTAGCCGATGATGGGATCATCGGCTAACTAGGAGTTACTAGGAGTTAGTAGGAGTTAGCCGATGATGGGAATGTAGGAGTTAGCCGATGATGGGATCATGTATGAAATGTATGGATCTATGGGATATGGGATAGGTATGGGATTATGGATGGAATGTATGGATCTATGGGATGTGAGATCATAAATCTAAGGGATCATTCAATTATAATCCTAATTAAGTAATACCCAATGAATCAACAATTAGAATCACTTACAATAGTGGAAATGCCACAGCCAGAACCTTGTCAATACTCATAGTCAAAAACATAAAAGTAACAACATATGTAGAAATAACATAGTATCCTTCAATTTCAAAAGCTAATAAAGCTGGTATAAAGTCTATTCCAGTAGCTGTGATATAAAAAAAGACAAATTGTCCGCTTTGATGGAGAACTTCAAGGAAGGAGTTGATGGCAATTAAAACGCTTGTTTTTGATTTTAAAGCAGTGTATTTTCCCCTAGAATTAATTTTTTGGGAAAATATTTAAAAAATCCACCAATATTTCCAAGTAATATAGCATACACTTGCATTTAAAAATAGGCCAATTATCGAAGGAAGCATGACTAAGGAAGGTAGAAAGAGTTCAAGATGGAAACCAGGGTTCGAGAATGCCATATAAATTGGCTAAAAAAATTTTTCAAAAGGAAAATAATTTTGAGACTAAAAACTTACTGGCAAAAGATATGTTTGATTCATACCTAAGAAAGATTAGTAAAGATATTTTTATTGTAATGAGAGACTTGTAGGAATAAGCATCGTTTAGGCCTGGATTTTGCTGTCAATTGAATGGTCGATCTCTGAGTAAATTTCGAAGTTTTCTTTTTTTATTTCGCAATTTTTTCAGATTTCGTAAGTTCAGGTTACTTCAAACTTAGTGGATAATTAAAACAAACAAATAGGGTACAGCCCAAAACAACGCGCGGCCATAACAACCCCATTATTAATTGTGAGGTACCGCCTTATCAATTGTGCTTCTGGCACTTATCAATTGTCTGGCCCTTACCAATTGTCCTTATCAAATCGTTTAACACTAAATTTGTTAAAATTTAGAAATTTTTAAGCAAGTTATTTATGTCTTAGCGTTGTTATGGCCATTCGTTGTTTGGTTCATTAATTCTATTCCCTAACAAATAGAATTAATGAACTTTAGGTTTAAATTCATTAACCATATAAAGTGCATTCTAAAATTAAAAAAAGGTTTTTTATTAAATATTTTATCAGTGACAGATGTAGGAAATCTTAGAAAACATCTGTTTTAAATGCACTTTAAAATTAAAAACCTTTTTAAGAAAACATAAAATTTTATTATTTTACTATTCAAAATATAGTAAATAAAGCTTATTATGAAAATATATCATAAAAATTTGAATTAAGAATTTTTATTTTAATTATCGGATCTATTTATGAAACAGTATTTGGCATATAAGACATGATCCACTTTAATGGTATTATTTCATTAACTTTAATTTCGTGGGAGAAATGGTGAGATATTTTAATTGAGCTATGGATTAAGCTCTCAAGTGTTATATAGAAACTAGATAGCTTTGAGTCAAGCATTGCCAATCAAGATTAGAAACATAGTTATCTATGACACCCACTAAATAAGGATCAGGCCAACGTACCGCGAGCCCAACGTATCGCAGAGCTTTTCAAAGCAGTCGAATCTGGGACGATTTGGTATGGTTTGATGCATCTCGACGAGCTAAATCGAAACCTATAAGGACGTCCCGGATTCGACCATTTTGAACGAAGTTATAGCTCGGAGGTACGTTGGCCTCGCGGTACGTTGGGGTGTACTCGATAATTTATTTTAAAAATACCATATAAATTTATTCAAGTTTAAAATGAATTAAATTATAATTTTGTAAAGCGAATAATGAAGAAAGTTTGTACGTGTATTTAAGAAAAATATAGAATCTTTAAGAAAATCGTTTAAAATATTTTTTTAATTAAATAAGAATCCACCCATTGAAATCCACCCATTAAATTCCAACCCATTTTTAAAATTAAAACCCATTTCAAGTTTTATAAATTCATCAAGGCTTAACACATTCTTTTTTGCAAAGCACTTTGCTTATAGGACGTGTACAACCCACATCCTTCCATTTACCATTTGAAATTACACAGCAGTTTTTCTTGCCATAATTGCCGTCATCCATGTTTGAAGCATTAGCTGGGCAACCATTTGCCCATGGATTTTTTGAAGTTGGATCCTTGGAAAGGTGGAAAAATTATGATTACCTGGCAAACAGCTATAAACCTTAAACCTTCTTCATATTCAAACCCCACCTTCCAGCCCCCGTTAAATAGAATTCCAATGCTACTTAGTCACATAAACGGTATCCCTCCGATCGAATTTTGGAGCTTAATAACTAAGGACTGTCGTTATAATCATTACCTCAGGACCACCTTAGCTGATGATAGATGGAATGTTCTAAGTGAAATTGAAGATACACATGTCCTCTATGTCCCTATGCCCCCATATTTTTAAATTTTAATTACAGTTTCGTAATAGCATTGCTTATCTTCACCATCCAAGCATTCAATATTAGCACCATCCTCAGACACCATACGGTGCATATCAATCCAAACATCCTTTCCTTTACACCCACAATAATGCTTACAAACATGGTCATTCTCCTCCTCAGACTCAATGGAGCATACGGTAGCGCCGTGCTTGCGACATTTCGCAACTGCCTGAAAATTTCGAGGATCAGTGATGGAAGCAGCCCTAATACCTTCCAATAGCTTCCCTCTACCGAGTATGTATGGTAACTGTAACATTTGCCATTTTTGTAACATTTCGAATTCCACCCATCTACCCCACATATATTTGTGCTATTTCCACAACTAGCAGAAGTAGATGTTGCTAAAGTTTCTTTTGGATCTTCTGTTGTTGCTTGAGTTGTTAATTCGACAGTTGTTTTTATAACAGCTGAAGTTTTGGTATCCTCATGTGGACATTCAGCAGAGCAATTTCTTTTACAAACTACACCTCCGAGCAAAGCGTAACATGAAATATCATTCCATTCGGTAAGATTATTGATAAAAATCAAGTGTGTACATCCCTCGATTTCTCCTTTAGAATATTTTTAAATATTTGGTTAAAATTAATGTTTGGCAACTGAGATTTACTGGGCATCCCGGAAACTACCAATACTGTAAAATGCTGGAGCAAACCCCAGCATTACTTAGATTTTACCCCGAACGCTCGGGGGCGTGTGTGTCAGTGTACGGGGTTTTCCAACTGTTTCAGAACGGGGTTTGGGCCGTGCCAACAAAATATCGTCGGGGTTCGGGTCGGGGATAAATGCGAAAAAATCGCCTGGGAACTGGGTCGGGGTACGTGGTTCAGGGCTGGGTTAAAACTCTCTGGGGTACAACTCATTATTTAAAATTTTATTTTTATCAGTTCAACTTAAAATATTAGAAAAGGTTAAAATCATCTTAAAAACAATTTTTCTCCTGGACTAAGACGAGCATGTGAATAATGAAATAGACACTGAAAATAACACTTCATACTCATTTATATCAGAGCTCAAGCAGGATTTCTATCCTATCGAGAGAAAAAGGTAGCAATAAGCTAAGAATGACAACCGACACAGTTGCTTGAGCCCAAATAAGAATGATTTTTAAATACAAACCAATAGGAAGATTATCGTAAGAAGATGGATTGCCAAACGCCCATGGACGAACATCACGGTTGGGTATAGGGAGTCCATCATAACGTCCGTAGTCACAAGTTGTGCTGTCCGTCCATGTGCAGTGTACTGCTGAATTGGCAAAAGGTTTTGCAAACTGAACACGAGAAAGTCCAATCCAAAATGAACGATAAATTTGATCTGAATTTTTTATTAAAAGTATTTATTCACCCAATGGTCCGGGGCGAGTAGATATTGGCAAAAGCTTGATAGGGAACCCATTAGAAATTATTTTCGAAAGCTACCAAGAAGTAAAAGGCCTGAGTTATTGTGCTGAATCCGTTGCTGACAAGCATTTGTATCTTGGCATAACTTCATTAATGTCCCAGCTACTTGACCAACAAAATCATTTTCTTCAGCGCTGTGGATACTGACAAGATCGCCTCCTTGTTTCCGACAGATACTACTTCCCTAATTTTAAATTTTTTTAATTAATAAGATATTTATTAAGTTATGCACGATAATATTTATCCATTGCCCTAAATTATTTTGTTAATATAGTAAAGCAGCTGGGCTATAGCTATTCCTCTCTTTTATCTAGTGCAAAAGGTTATTCGGCGGCTGGGAGCGAACCAGCATCTTCAGTAGACCGGACTGATGTGTTAGCCATTACACCACGCCGCCTACTGCTCAGCCTTAGGAAATTAATAGCTATATGCTTTACAATATCTTCCTACGGGTACAGGCTGGAGTGCTTTTAAGCATTTCGAAATGCAACGATGGGGAATCCTTGAAATGTCGTGATAATAGGGCACACAAAAGTATCGCGGGTGTCAACCCGGAACTAGATTCGGACAGAAAAAGATCATGGATCAAAATCTAGGCTATCGAGATGATGGTTATTCTAGATATGATCTAGATCTTTTATGATACTCTGATTAGGTTTCTATTCAAATAAAATTTATGATTTGGAGGTAAAGGGACACTGCGATACATAGGGTTATAGCCAAAAAATTGTCACTTAATATTTTCGCGATTTTTAATTTGACATAAGAAAAGCATTTTTTCTATTAATTCAATGTCAGAAATTAATCAACCTCGAATTGAGTAATCAAATCAGAAATAATCGCCATATACCCATAAGTACTTCCATCACTATCAACTCTCGTAGTCCATTTACTAGAGCAACTACAGTGGGCATAGTAAGGGAGGATTAATGAAAATAAAATTAAAGGTATTAATGAGGTAATGGACATTTTCAAAATTTTAATTGAGGTAATTTAATTTTAGCTGAGGTATTTAGGTAATTTATTTTTATTTTTTATTCGAATGAATTAAATTTTGACTGATTTCCATTTCTTATAAGCAAAAACATACAGCAAAAAAATTTTTTTTAATAAAGCCAAAATAATATTGAGCCAAATTGAGCCAAAATAAATTTTCTTTTTTTGTGTTTGGATAAACAAAAATGGCATTTGGCCATTTTATTATCTTATAGTTTGAATAATATTATACAGATCAATTCCAAATTTGGCAAGCTTGCGAATAAAAGGTTTCTACCTCTTTTTTGTTAGTTAAAGCCACGTTGTATTTTTAGAAAATTTTTTAAATTTGAATCCATAAATAGAAATTTTATTTAGTTTTGCAAGAAAATATTTTTTAAAATCCCAAATTAGATAAAAAATATTTGAATTTCTCGAAATTTAATTTTAGATAGGCAAAAAAGAAATCCAGATTTTTTAAATTTTTAATTTTCATTGCTAAGCTTTCGGTTCTTAGATTTTAAATAAAACAAAATTTAAAATCTGAGTTTTTCTGTTTTGACTCCCTAGTTAATTTAGGGACACTATCTGTTTATACCAAAGGTGCAATACGTACCAGGGATGGGTCAGGTTGAGAAATAAGTTCTGGTCTAGGATTTCGGGTTGAGATTTCAAAATTTACTTTGGATAGGGTTTCGGGTCGAGAAAAGTCCGGGTTTCGGGCCGGGTTAGTTAAAAAAATGACCACGAAGTCAAATTTCTCGGAACAGTTTGGGTGAATTAGTGATTTAGAGGTTTGATTTACATGAATTAAGGTTAGGGATATAATAATATCAAGGGATTTGAGATTTAGAGAGATATCAAGAGATTAAAACGATTAGGCGAGATATCGAATCCACTAATATTTAAACCTCCAGGAGGATCCTCTACGAACCTTTTAACGATAAGATATTGGGTTCGGGTATTGGGTTTCGAGTAACCCGACTTTCACTGATACGTACATATGTATTTGGCACTTTTGATTAAAACGTATATTTTTGAAAAAATCCTTGTAATCTCCTTATGTTTGGAAAATATTTTTCACTATGTATTTATAAATTAAACTTTTTGTCTTAACTTAATCTTTTTCTCGATAGAAGCTCTGGCTTATACACATAACTACATATATCTTCTTTTTTCTTCTCTTGTTTCACTTTTTTCTTAAATATACAAATTTTCAATGGCTAGGATTAATAAATTAAATCACTAATACAATGGACGGCCATCAATTTTCAATCAGTTTCCTTGGTGCCATATTATTCGAGATAGTCATGAAATTGAGGGGGCCATTCTATTGTTTATTCATCACCCAAAGGACAATTTATTCGTGGTGCCATTAAAATGAGAAGGGAAATTTAAATACTGAAATTTAATCCAAATTTATATGCCTTTGCCCATTCTTCAATGTTTTTGAAAATGGAGAAGGAATGCATAACACAACTTTATTTGCATTCTTGAAAAGTAGAGGTAGTTAAAATAAAAAAGTTTTTCAAGGTTTCAAAAATTTGATAATAAATCTGATATTTGAGATTTCCACATCTGATATTTTCACATTTGATATTTGTGGGAGTTCTCATACCTTTCAATAGCAATACAGAATTTTGGTATAGGAATTATGCTACAGAATAGTGATGCTCGGGTATCCCGAACCCGCTCGGTAGAATTTCCCGAATTTTTGGCCTCCCGCTTCCTGAGGTCATTTCCCGACCCGACTCCCGTTTCCCGAGTTTTTTCCTCCCGAGCATCTCTAGTACAAAAGTCGCGCAACCGTTTAACACCTAAATAATTAATCTGCACAAAAACCGTGTTAAATTTATTCAAGTTTAAAATAAATTTGATTATAATTTTAATAAGTCAAGGAATCGAAATTTGTTTTTACGTTAATCAAGGAAGATATAGGATTCTTTAATAAAAATTTATTTAGAAAATCGTTTTTGTTTTAACCTCCCATTAATTTCTTCGCGTTTTATGAATTCTCATCAAGGCTTAACACACTCTTTTTTGCAAAGCACTTTGCTTATAGGACGTGAACAACCCACATCCTTCCATTTACCATTTGAAATTACACAGCAGTTTTTCTTGCCATAATTGCCGTCATCCATGTGTGATGGATCAGCAGGACAATCCTTTGCCCATAGATTTTTTGAATTTTTATCCTTGGAAAAGGAAAATATATTGACTATATTTCACGCTATAATACAGCATGAATCAAATCTAGATATTGTAGTATATATTAATTCCTTCCCTCCAGTACAGATAATTTTCAAAGCTATGTACTTAGTTTACTTGGAAGATTGCCTAGCATATATAAGACCCTCAGAATTAATTAGCTAACGTAAAAGTGGGTGCCGTAGATGGGAAAGTCATGCCCTTCAATTTACAGTACTTCAACAACGTAGATTGAAGAGTTATTAGTCGTTAGTAGATGGTTTTCCATCCATATCCCCTTATTTTTAAATTTTAATTACAGTTTCGTAATAGCATTGCTTATCTTCACCATCCAAGCATTCAATTTTAGCACCATCCTCAGTCACCATACGGTGCATATCAATCCAAACATCCTTTCCTTTACACCCACAATAATGCTTACATACATGCTCGTTCTCCTCCTCAGACTCAATGGAGCAAACGGAGGCGTGGTGCTTGCGACATTTCGCAAGAGCCTGAAGAATAAATTTTGAGAATCAGGGAGATTAGCCTTATTACCTTCCAATAGCTTCCCTTAACAGAATATTTATGGTAACTATAACATTTGCCATTCTTGAAACATTTCCACTTCCATCCATCAGCCCCACATATATTCGAATTGTTTCCACAACTATTAGGAGTAGATGTATCTATA